CCTGAGTATCAGAGTCTGGCTGTTTCCTCTTGAAAAATCTCATGTTGTAAAGAACTGACTGAGTGACATGTCCTTTGTCCCCTGCGCTTTGTCATGTGATTGCAATCCTGAGCCTCACATAGACACAGAATAATTATGAAAGGGGACACTGCCATGAAAAGATGGATAGTGCAGAGTCAAGCCACATAGTATGCCCCTCCACAGTCAGCACAGCCTAAAGATCAGAATCAGCATGTGCTACACTAAACATAATATTATTAGTATGTGGATTATTAGTGTATGGATAGCTCTAAGATACTATATTGCCCTGCTTTAGAGTGAAAAAAAACACTCAACTATTTTTTCCTTTGTTTATTTAAAAATAATTACCCCAAAAACATCTGGAGAAACGTCATCTTCTCCAAAAAAAAAAAAAAGAAAGAAAAAGAAAACATCCTGGGAAAAACTCATCAACTGCAGAATCTTGCTTTCACACACACACCACAAAGCAGACTTCAACTTAAAAAAAAAAAAAAAAAGTTAAAGTAGTTTCAAAGATTTTTATTTCTTCCTACATCCCTGTGGTTTCAGTAGAGGAAACCAAGAATTTTCCAGGGATTTCTCTTTTTTTCTTTCCTTGCTGGTAAATGAGTGATACTTAAAGTAGAATTTTCTTAGGCAGGGGACTCAGGAGAGTATGAGTACCATAAATATTCCCATGTAAAGTACTATCTTCTAAAAACGTATACTGTGCCCAGCCCTCATCAGATATTCAAACTAATATTTAGAGAAAATCAAAACAATAAAACAATGCACAGAGATGAAAGTAACTTATCAAAAAAAGAAAAAATGGTCATGTGGTAGCAAAGTTTGAAACTGAGGTTGTCCTTATTCATTCTTGAACATCTTTTCAGAAAATTACCCTGAAATTACCTTGAAAGAAGATATTTCTTCAATAGAAAGTTGCCCCTTGAGTCGTCATTTGATTATTTGAAGCCTTCTTTGATTAGGAAACTACCATTGTAGAGGAGTTCTACAGGTACGCCAGTGGCATATGTGAGGGAAGAGTTCACTGCTCATGCTTACTTCTCCCACTTGGGTGAAGCAAGAAAAGAATGAGGGCCAGGCACGGTCGCTCACACTCGTAATCCCAGCACTTTGGGAGGCCGAGGCAGGCAGATCACGAGGCGAGGAGTTCGAGACCAGCCTAGCCAGTATGGTGAAACCCCATCTCTACTAAAAATACAAAAAAATTAGCCAGACATGGTGGTGGGTTCCTGTAATCCCAGCTACTCAGAAGGCTGAGGCAGGAGAATTGCTTGAACCCAGTAGGCAGAGGTTGCAGTGAGCTGTGATCTCACCACTGACTCCAGCCTGGGCAACAGAGCGAGACTCCATCTCAAAAAAAAAAAAAAAAAAAAAGAATGATCTCAGATAGTTACTGAATTCTTATTTTAAAAATAGGCAGTAATAGGAACAAAATGGCTGAAGTGCAGACAACCACTAGAGAAAACACAATTGTAGCATTTGGGTTATGTAGAGAAATTACCTGCATTAGGCCTGCATTCAATATAAGAAGACTGTTGTAGATGCATTTATTTAATTAGATTCAAGTTTGGTGTTGATAAAATAATGCAGTGAAATTATGTTATATTCTAGGCAGATAGATAATGAATAATTATTATATTAGGGCGTTTGCCCTTTGCAAGGCGGAAAGAGAGTGATAGAAGTATAAAATGTGATTCTTGCCATTAAGGAATTGTCATAGTCTCATGAAGTAATAGTGATCACTACAAGAACGTTTCTAGTCCTGAGTTATGTAGAGCAGGACTGTAAGTGTTCAGCAGAGAAGACTGGTCCAGTCAGATGTAGTACAACTCCATTGTTAATGCCGGAAATGAGACTTAAACTTGGTCTTAAAATATGGGTAGGATTTAGGAAGGAGAAAGGATAAATATATTTCAGGAGCACCATGAGGTAAGCACTTTCTTGGAACAGTGGTGATGGCTAGCTTGACTAGAGTTAGAAGGTTCACATTGATTAGGGATGAAAAAGAAGAGAATGAACAAACGGAAACTTCCTGAGGCAGGGTTAGAAAACTAAGCAGTGCATTATAGATTTGATATGGGTGGGAAAAAGGAACCACTACAGTGTGTAGTAAGCACACAGTTTTAGGAAAGAAGTCTGAATGTAAGCTACAAGGTGAATGGGTAGAAATTAGAACCACAGAGCTCAACTAGAAAGCTGTTACAGCAAGTCAGATATAAACTGAAAAATCACATATGGGCTAGAGAGAGGAAGAGGATGAAGGAGAAAAAGTTTTTTAATTTAATAATAAGCAGCTAGTTATATATAAGCATGAGGGAAGGAGATATGACTTCTGGTCCAAGAAATTGGAACAGTGATGGTGCCATTGATGAAAATGAAAGAGCTGGGAAAATGTATATGTGTGCACTGAGAGAGAAGGATGACAAGAATGGAGGTTAGGGGAGTTTTGGCAATAAGTCGAGTAGAAGATAATAAATAGGGTGGTAGTTAGAAGTGGTAAAATGATCAAACGTATGTGTTTTTTTCAAGGTTAGAGATGCAGTAAAATCAGGGGGAAAAGGTCTCCTGCTAGCCACAAGGAGATTTGTGTATCTTTGTCCTAAGAGAATTTGTTCTATGCCATGACTGTCTTCTCTGCTCTAATAGAGGACAGAAGTGAGCTGAAGTCATGGTGTGGCAGTGGGAGTAGAGGGTCAGCAGGATGTGAGAGACTTTAAAGGGCACTACACCAGCACAAAATCATGTGTGAAGTTCAAGCTGGGTAAAGTCCATTTTATCCATGAATGAGATGATCCCTGGTCAGGTTGGAGATCTTGAGAGCCTGGAGATCTGACTATGAATAAAGTGAAAGTTCCATTCAATTAGACCTATGTCAGTAGTAAATACTAATAATAGAAGCTAAAACTTTATATAGGCCTTATGGCATTTGAAACATTTTTGCACTCTTTATTTATTAGTTTATTTAGTCCTTATACCACCAAGCAGTGGCTGTGATGGTTATGGTAGTTAAGAACCAACTTGAACCAGATGCCCGGCTTCAAATCTTGGCTTCTCTTACTTTGTGACCTTGTGCAAGTCATTAAACTTCTCTATGTTTATTCTATGTGTAATAGAATAATGAAAATACCTATCTTCTGGGATTTTCATAAGGATTAAAGGGGTATAAATAGATGTAAAGTGCTTAGAATATTTCCTGGCACATGTTAAATGCTCTACAGGTCTTAGCTATTTTCACAGGGGAATGTTCTTAGCAACAGATAGGAGTTTAAGATCTTGCTTTGTCCTGTGGTCAATAAAGGAAGTGGCAAAAATACTGTGCCCAGTAGAACCTAGTAGCTGTGGAACAAAGAAGCAGAGCCCTGTCCATCGTTATGTGCAAAGAGATCATCAGTAGTGTCAAGGAGGTCAGAGAACTCTGAGGTCAAAACGTGAAATGAATCATCATTATGAATATCTATGTCATTGAATATGATTGTTGATTGGGAGAAGAAGGCAATCGTGATGATTTGAAGAGAAATGATGAAGTAAAGAACTAAATGGGATTGAAGGTTACAAAGAGATGGTTAGAGAATTGAGCCCAGAGTAATATATACGGCTGAGAAGCAGAACCAAGGACGTTGTTAGTCCTTTGTGACATAAGCAGACTGGGGTGGCAATATAGTTCCCCACCCCCATGGGGCTTTCCTTTTCTGTAGATTTCTAAGGCTTCCTATTTCTAAAATATTGGTCTGATTTCTGCATTGGGCATCTTAATACTACTGTCAGAGATAGACCAACAACTGTGCAGGACAGAGGAAAATGCAAAGTGAGTGTGCTGGTCCATTAGGGCTCACTGACAGCAGCGTGGGAACAAAATTCTGTAGCAGTAGTGGTTTAAATGGGTCCTTCTGTTGCAACCTTAAAGAAGCCACATAACCTTGTGTTTGAAAGAGGAAAATGCAACAGATATAGAATACACTGATTTCCATGAATGTTTTTATATACAGGAAATTCGGGGCATTTGTCACTCTGTTATTGATTCATAAATCTGTATTTTTAGAATCTAAGTAAAGACAAACACAGTTTGCATTCATCTATCTCACAAGCCAAGAATTTTCTCTAATGTGAAACAGTCCCTTCTGTGTCATCTAAAACTGTAATGTGTGTTTGAAGTTCTAACTTGTTTGTGTTATATCCACCTAATAGCATTTCGTAGTCCAGCTCCTAAGTAGGTCAATGAGTGGATACTATGTGCCTTTAAAGTACTTTGGTATCCTAAGACCATGTGATGTGTTGAAGAGGATGTACTTGAATGCCAGCTCTACCATTTATATCAACCTTGAGCACATTATTTTTCACTGAGCCTTTGATTGTCTAGAAAGCAAAAAGATGGCAACTTTAGAGAGGTCTCAGCCGAGGTTACCCTTGAGGCACAACCTGAGATGAAAGTCAGTGTGCATATAGCTTATTTGTGAATATGACCCCAGGGAGCAGGAATGCGGGACTGGGAAGGAAGCAGGGAAGAAAGGCAAGGCAGTAGAGGGGATGAGTTATCCAGATGTCCACCCATACTGGGTCTTAGTCTTCCCAGGCACTTTGGAGTAGTCTTATGAAATAAGACCCAGAACTGTTGACTGGCAAGACAAAGGCAGTTGTACCTAGGTCTGTGTACCCCACTGGTCCAAGGTGGTCCGCAGGCCTTCACTCTTTCACACTTTCAAGTTGAACAAATATGAGTGCAGAGAAAATTCCTTTGGGCACCAGCTGTGGGGTCAGAAAGCTCTAAGGCAGAAGTGAGAGGTATTAAAGGTAGGCTGGGGCATTCTAATTGGTACTTGCATGAAGTCTGTTAAAGCGTGCATGAAACTGGACACTACATCAGGGGATGAGTAAGAGGTGGGATTGAGGGTTTTGATGTGGTAAATGGGAATGCCCTGCCCAGAGTTATTGTAAAAATTAAATATAATAAACTAAAAAAAACTAAAGCACACTACCTGACATGTTATAGGCTCTCATTATAGGCCATCTCCCTGGATGATCTCATCTACTCGCATGCCAGGATTACCATCTGCATGTTGATGCATTCCAAATCTATATCACCAGCCCAGACTAAGTTCAGACATTTATATCCTTTTGGGTCTATTTCAGGCACCTTAAAATGAACAGATCCAACATTCAGCTAGTCAGCTTCCCCTGCTTCATCCTCCATCTTTGATCATCTTCTCCCTTTTCCTATGTCAGTAAATGAGGTCAGCATCCCAAGGCAGAGACTTTAACATTCATACTTTTTCCCTTTTCCCCCTCATCCCCTCATCTCCCTCATCCCACTCCTAGTCAGAAGTCATTACCAGTTCCTATCTGATCTACTCTTAAACAGCTCTCAGATGTCTGCTTCTCTTCCTTTGGGCTGCTGCCACTCTAATCCAGGCTCTCTCTTACTTAGATTACTAGAAGTTTCCCAGTAGTCTCCTAACTCCCAGTAGTCTTGATACATACACAATATCTGTTTCCAGTAAGTTCATCCTTTTTCAGAAATCTACTCGTGTTACTCTGTTCATTGTCATCCCATTTTCCAATGCTAAGCACAGTACCTGATCCATACTCCAACTCACTAAATATGGAAGGAGCAAAGAAGACAAGAAGGGCAAGAATTAATTTGAGAAAGGTTAGGACAACAGTAACATTGATAAATTAGCAATATAGACAACACTTTAAACAATAAGAATAGATGGGATTATCTGTCCTCTTACCTTTATTTTCACTTTACTATTTTCGTTTTCCCTCAGGTCTCTCTCACTTTACCCATTTTTCCCCCACATTACATTTCTTCAGGCTTAGGTAGCTTCTCTATCTTCAACAAATTAAATGCAAAGTAAAATAACCATTCAGATAGTAATAGGGAGAAATAACAAATCAGTTGTATTATCCACCACTTGTATGTGGAGCTTTACAATTCACAAAGCCCTTTCCTGTAAATTTTATAAACAGAGGTTTTCAGAAATTTCGTCTTTTTCTTATGAAGAAATAGTGAAACCTATGCTTAATATTCACATGTGAAGGGTCCTGAGAAACATGAGGTGGAGGATTGTGCTTGTCGTGCTTTAGAGCTTTATTTGTGACTGTCTCAGTTCATATAATGAACTGAGTATAATGTCATTTCCTTTGTCTTCATTCAGCCAAAGGGTCTCTACTGCTTCACCAAGTTCAATTAGCAGAACTAGCAGGATATTCTGCACTAAAATGACCTGGATCCCACATGGGGAACTTTCCAACGCAGCCGTCTCCTTCCTTCCTTCCAAGGGAGCATGTGCCCTGAGTATCCTTCTTTTTCTTGCCTTTCATCAGTCATACCTCAGTTAATTCCATCTCAGTCAGTCCTTTTCTTATTTGCAGGCACACATGAATAAGCTGACCTTCAGCCTGAGCATTATTTCAGAGGAAAAGCTAATGTGAATTTGTTTCAGATTTTATATCAATTGCAGCTTTGAAATTGAAAAATATAATTGGTACAACTATTTCAGTGGTTTTTTTTTTCCATGTTTGGAGGTATTAATTTTTTGGTCCTTACTCCTTACTTCTATTTTAATCAGTATTAAGACCAATGAAATTGTTCATACTTTGTACTGGCGATGGTTCCATTGATATTTGAAAACAATTTGACTCTTGGTATTTGTTTCCCAGAGATTACCTCACTCTTTTCTCAGAAAAGGAGGGAAAATTATTGATTAATTTTGTGAAGTAGTCTCTCTTTTAGTTAAACAGTAATAAAAAATGTACTGATAAACTGGCACATTAAGGAAACTGATCTTTTATCCTTTCTTCAACAAAATATTTTCAGAAGTGAACATCCACTTGCCCAGCTCTACTGCCATTCAATCATGGAGCACCATCATTTTGACCAGTGCCTGATGATTCTTAATAGTCCAGTAAGTACCTAATTTATTGTTGTGGAATTTTTAAAGAGAGCTTTATAAATTCAGTTTTATTTTTAGTTCTTGGATTTATTCCCAGCATCATAAATTCTTGCACATACTTTATTCCTTTTTGGGTAAGGAAGGCAAAGCCAAAACATTTGAGATCCTCACAGCCTCACTTCTCTAGACAACCAGAACTGTCTACATGTTGCCTGATAAGGGAAATTTGGTTATTCTACTCTATGTGGCTATTCCAAATTAGAAACAAACAAAAATGTGTATTTTGTGGCTCTCAGTTAATTCTGCTTTTTTTGAAATGAAGTGGTTTCTATAGCTCAAGCATTTGTTTTCACAAAGCAATACCTTTTCTTCTTTTTACTGAAACTTCCAGTTACTAAGAAACAATTTTATTAAAGAATAAAGCTATTTAACTACTTGCTGAAATGAATATTTATCAACATAAGAAAGCATATGCTATGCTATGCTAAACATACTTATGTTAAGGAAAACAAGATTAATTTAATATGCACCAGGATATTAACAATGGCTGTGCTGGTATAATGAAATTGTTCATTTTTTTGGGGGGGGGTGATTGTTCATTATTTACATTATCTGCTGTGTGTAGGTATTACCTTAATAAGAAAAAATGAAAGTTTTAACTATTACATTGAACATACACAATGCGTGACATATAATCTTAAAACAGTTTTACCACAATATCACTAAGTTTACTCAGTGGGGCTAGTTCTTTCCTGAGCCCTGGAAAAAAATTCAGGGATTCCCATCACTTTTCTGGTCATGATTTTATAACTAAAAACCCTCTAGTTACTTTAGGTCCCAATATATAGTATAGAGTTCTCAACTCAGAAACCAAAATGTGTACTCCTGGGTAGCAGTCCAAATTTTGAACATGATTTAACATTTCACATTTTCTGTTACTGCACTGGTAGGCTTCTCCCATTCCCTACCTTGTGTTTCTTCTGACTCCTTCCTCTCTCCCCAACCTCCATGTAGTTTCTTACCCCTTGATACTTGGAGAATGGGAAGGGAGAATAGGTAAGAGATGTTAAAACATTCTTAACAGACTGGTGCTGAGATGAGTGTCTTGCCTTTTAAGACAAGAGTCAGACACAAGTCTACTCTAGCCCCACCTCCACCCACTAAATGATAGGAGACATACACAGGAACTCCACGCCCCTCTCTCTTACCTGAGGTAAAGGGGAACTCACTCTCATGCCTCCCTCAACACCTCAGTGTGGGGGAAGAGTTAAAAGTTATGTAGCCTGTTTTGGCACCCTCCTTATAAAGTCTGTATATGGTCTAGTACAGATTGTTTTTCTACCACATGTGATTGTTTAGTATGAATTATATCATGTGTGATTGGGAGGTAGAAGGATGGTATCAGTATACCATAGACATTCTATCATTTCATACACAACCTCCCTGGGGTAAGAGGTGCCAGAATTATAGAAGTTGAATTCTGACCTTCGGCAAGAAAGAAAAAAGCCCTCCCCTTGGCTCCTGCATATGCAGCCCTTTCCGTTCTTTCTTAGGAATATTAAAAATGAGCACTTGCACCTGAGGCTCTCTCCCTCGCTTTGGACTGCTGTAGCCTCTCGGGAGCTTGCTCTTCTTTCAATGCCCATCTTAATAGCAGACTTACTGTCTCAATGATCAATTCTATATGCATGATCGCAGGGCCCCCACAAACCAGCATTTCTACTTGATTGTTTTTGTCCATCTTTAATGTCCTCAGAGACAGCCTCCAGACCAGCCAGACTGGCCCATCCAAGTTACTTCCAGAGGAACCAATTCTTGGTTTGGTTTGTGCTCTGGTTACAAAGTTGCATAGGTTTTGAGTGGTCTTTCTCAATACCATTTTTTTGCACAATCCATGTTATTTTTAGTGTACAGTTTTTCAGAACTGAAATTTCTCAGGAATGTATATGTCATGTTGTAGTAGGAATATCTGTACTTTTGCTATCTGTGTGTTTCCACCAAAACTTTCATTTCAATATCCCATTACAAATTTAGCTCCAAAGAAAGAAAATATGCTAACTTTTTTAAAAGCATATTTTACAGTATTCCTATCAACTGACCTGTTACTATGTAACTTATTATGTAATATGTTGTTGCTTAATATATAAGGAATCTGGTTATCTATATGGCTGGCTCAAATTATAAGACCTATCTATATATTCTATCTTTGTAAGCAAAATTACACAAGAAATTATATCCTCAGCCTTTGGGAGTAAAAAGTAAAAATATAGCACCAAAAGACATTTCATCTTCCACTTGCAATTATTTTATCTTAAAATAAGTATCAGAAGGTATTTTCTGAATAATTTTCTGTTTAGTCTAGAATCTAAAATGATTTAGTATTTAAAATAATGTTTATGGTTGTAATTATAGATTAATGTCATTAATTAGATCCCGTTTCAGCATCTAGTTATCCTCTAACCAATGTGTTTTGGCCTCAGCCTAACATACCCAGAAGTTCCCCTGTCTTCATAACAAATCCTCTGCCTTCAGATCTCTTTCCTAAGCATCTGGGTTTTTTCTTGGCCCTAAGATATAGGAAGCATATCTGACTCAACTTCGAGATGTTGTTTTGATTGTATTATGAGTGCCTGGTCTATGTATTTTACTTAGTTCAAGATTAGAGAACCACTATGCTTTAAATTACAGACAAGAAATAAAAAATGGTTACATAGTGAAAACTTTGAATGATTTGCACATGGGTTAGCTACCTTTTAAATATTCCTTATAGATGTTTCAACCCACGCTTTCTTTCTCCACTGACCAGTAAGCACCCTTTGGCTCATGCCCTTTACCCATCTATATTAAGATGTTCCTAAGGAATATGCACTGTTACCATAACTGACCAAGTTAAAATTATATAAATTTGCACCAGAAATATTATTGGATTTATTTAAAATGCCATAGAGAAGTCACTTTTTTCATAATCCATTGTTTAAAAATTTCACCACTTCATCCTTCATATCCATTAATATGGCTTTGATTTTTTTCAAAGTTTTATTTGCTGTTAAATTATAGCAATTAGTCTGCCCTATGGAAAAGAATAGCTTTAGATTTTAAGTCTGGACTTAAGGCTTAAGGAGTATAAAAGTGGGAAAAACATGCGTATGTAGGCAGATGAAGCATCATGAAGCAGTTTACATGTATGACAGAGGGGTGGGGTGGGAACATAGAGGGAAACATTATTTCATGGTATTTAAGTTTGCCCTCCACATTCATGAGTTTAGAATACTGGGCATGTGTTTAAGATATGTGAATGTGTTTGCAGATTTTGTTCTTGTCCGCAGCTTCTCCAGGGTGCTAATGTTGGTTTTCTTTTTTTATAAAGGGCAATCAGATTCTCAGTGGCCTCTCCATTGAAGAATATAAGACCACACTGAAAATAATCAAGCAAGCTATTTTAGCTACAGACCTAGCACTGTACATTAAGTAAGTTTTAAGAAATAACCAGAGAAATAGGTCTTCGAAGTCTTTCTGAGAAATTTCAAAACACAAATGTCCTGGCAAAACTGCTTATCAGACTATGGAGCAGTTTCTTAAAGGGTAGCCAGAAAAGTCTACTCCTTTGGCTTACTTACTGCTGGAAATTAAGAATACCTATTATTTCTGATGTTTATCTACCGCTGTGTCTCTGAAACTATATACAAATCTACTAGCC